TATGAAAATCAGATTTTAAAAAGAATAGGAGAAAAATACTGGACAGATCAAGGAGTGGTCGAGATATTATGTAAAATATGGGGAAGCCTAAAAAACTGAATCACTTTGGTCAGTCGGCCCAGATCCATCCTCTGGGGGCCCTTCTAGCACCTATTTAATTATGGGGATTTCGGTGTTGGCATCTCTGACTGCGAGGTCTCGGGTTCGGCCCCTCGCTACAACCCCATCACCCGGGATGCGCTGCTGTGAGAGATCATTCCTGCTTGGCTGCGATTTATGTTGATATTTAATTTTTTAAAACTAGCTGTCTTTTTCTCTTTCGGTCACGGCTTCTTTGATCAACCTAACAGCCCTGAGTGACCGGCCCCCACTGCTATTGTTGTGAAGCGATTGTTTTACTCAGATAAAGACAGAAACTACTTTTTGAAAAGTTCCTCTGTGGTCAACTAGTTTTTAGATGATTCCTCCAGTTGCACATGACGGAACATCTTTAGAGATATTTGGGTTTCCCTTTTATCTTTTTTGTTTCGTAAGCGGGATTGGGTTAAAAGGTGAAGCCTGCAGGGCAGCCTCCCGCGGTTCGGTGTCGGCCAAAGTTTCTGCGGGTCAAGTTTGAGGCTTCATAAGCGAGAGGAGCCCCAGGACGTTGCTGATTGACCGGCTCCTCACAGTAGCGGCCCGGCAGGTCAGCCAACGCTACATTTGCCTCTGGACTCTCAGGAGGGGGGTTGGGGTGGGGGTGGAGGTCGCTCCTGAGCCCAAATCGCCTTGGCCTCAGGCAGAGCCGGCAGCTGCTGGAGAGGAACTTGGTGGCTGGAGCTGTGGAGCGGTGGGCGTCAGGCACCGAGCTACAGCACCGTGCACAGGGTAGGAGATGACCCCTGGTGATGGAGGCTGATGGGGGGATATAAGTAGGGGGGTGGGGGTGAGGGGGTCAGGAAGAACAGAATGCGCGGTCCATGGGAACCGGGGCTGCTTGCAGTCCCGGGCTGCAGATCTGAGGCTGTGCGCCTGGGGCGCACGGGCAAGGCTGGGCTGCTCTTCCGACAGGGTCCCGGCGCCGACCGACTGCTTTCATGTGTTATACAAAGGCTGAGAAATCCATAGCCAAGGTTGCTGGGCGGGAAGCGGCCTGCCGGGCCTAGGGACGCACCTGTTGCCATAGAACCCCCGCCTCCTTGCTGCCCCCCACCTCCTGCGAGAGCGCGGGGTGTGGCCCTAGAGATCTGGGCCCTCGCTGCTGCAGGGTGGCTCGCTGCGGCTCCTTGTCTGTCTGAGCCCTCTGAATGGGCCTCCTGGCCAGGGCCAAGGTCACTGCGCGTCTCTCTCAGGCTGAGGCCCCTTTGGGCTGCTATAGCTACCTCCCAATGCCAGCTCCCTAACTCTCCCCTCCTTGCCCAGACCCGGGGCTGGCGATGCAGAGACACCCTCTGAAGAGATCCGTCAACTCGTCTTCCTGAGCTCCGAGCCTGATTCCTTCTCGAATTAGGGGCTTATTTCGAGGGGCTGAGCAGGGGTCGCGGGTGAACCCTCGGGGTGGAAAACGATTCTGCAAGGCAAGCGCGTGGGAGCAGCGGCCAGCGCTGCCTGGTGAGCGCCTGCGTCTTTTGGGCCTTGGAGCGTATCAACCCATTTTATGGCTAGCAAAGTTATGGTTCCTTTACTCACTCGCCCTCTTCTAGTTGTTAATCCCCTCTCCCTCACTCCCCCCAGAGATAGGGGATAAGGAGCAAGCCTCCTAGGAGAGTCGGGGGCTCCTGAAAGGCCTCACTAAAAGTTCTAGCCCGACTGCGGCCCTGGACCTTGCTCCATCCTGCTGTCACAGTGGCCCTTCGGGAAAGCAGACGGCGACCAGGAAGGAGAGGGCGCACCACGTCCCGGACTGCTACTGAGTCCTCATCACTCTCCCCGCCCCCCACACCATTGGCCTAGACACCCAGATCTGCCACTTCAAGCACCCCCACGTTACTGGCGCTTTTAAAAAACCCTTTGGGGGTGGAGGTGCTCTGGTCGATGCAGACAGAGGTCCAGGCGCCTCTTCCCCGCCTAACGCAGCCCCCCACCCCACCCCTGGAGCTGGTCGCGGCGGGTATCCATCCTCCTCTCGGTAGAAAGGCGGTGCCCAGGAAGAGTGGCTTCTGGGTTGGATTCCCAGAACCCTGGCCCCTTGTCTTTCCAGCCCCGCAAGTGAGTTGATCAGCTTGTACTGCAAGGACTGCTTTCCCCAACCCCTTTTGCCCCTGCAACCTTCTCGAATAATTTGGGGGAGATTTACACCTTACTTAATATTTTTTACTGAGAAAATTGGGAGTTTTAAAAAGGCAAAATACATTTCATCAGCATGATTTTTCTACTCCTTCATTTGCAACCCTTCTGCTCTAACTAGACGTTGCTACTTCTCGAAATAAAAATGGAGGAGCAGCGCTCTCAGTTTGTGCGTGGGAAAGATAGACGTGGACTCCCAAGAGTCAGGGAAGAGGATCAGGAGAACAGTGGGGGCCGGGCCTCTGCACCAGCCCAAAGGCAGGAAGGCTGCTTTTTCCTCCAGTGGAGCGCTCCTGCCGGCTCCTCCCAACCAGCACCACCACTTGAACAGCAGGCAAGCCGCTGAGGGCCCGTTGTCTGGACCACGCCTCCCCCGCCCTCCAGCTTCCGTCCAACACCTGGGATGGTATTCGAATATATGCATGTGTTCTGGAACGCTTTTTCACATAAGCAGCTCAGGGGGTGTCACTGAGCTAAAATAGGCGAGTCTGGTGAGTTAAGAGACATTCCTTTGGCTTAGATATTAGGAGTGCGTTTGGGCATCAGTCTTTCCACATCCATTAGAATCTGTTGGCTTCTCCGTTTTAAGAAACTTTTTTCCCCATGGAAGTGGAGGCAGTAGAAGGATGAAAGGCTTGTGTCCTAACTTCAAGGGCACTGAGGTCCAGGCCTTGACGAGGCACTGTTGCCCTTTTTAAAAAATGTATTATCAGAGAATCAAAGTTTGGCATAGAAAAAGCATCCGTTCCAAAGTGGCGCCTCTCTCCCCATCCGACTGGTACTGTCAGAGCTGCTTTCGCGGTGTGACTGTTAAGGAGGTACAGCCTCGCAGAGCGTGCGAACTCCCGACCGGGCATCCATCTCTCTTCCGGCGGCTCTATTTGTATCCCTGGAAAGTGAGGCCTCCTATTCCTCGAGTCCTAGAAACTTGCAGTGACTCTGCTGTGCAGTCTGAGGCTCTAACTGCCCGAGGTTACGGGATTGTTTTGGTTTCTCACTTGCCACCCAGACATTCATTCACAATCGAGTGTCTGTCTTAGTTTCCTCTGAGCCCGGAATGTATCGGTACCCAGGTTCTTCTAAAGGCTTCCCCAGGCGCTCTCCCTTCTGGGGAATTCTGCCTTCCCGCCCCTGCTTAGCTAGTCCCGATTGACAAAAACACAGCAAGGGGGAAGAAAGACCGGAGCCAACCTGGCTCTCCCACCCAAGACTCTGAACTCCAGGCTTCCGTCTCCCCCAAAACAACTGCGCCCTGGACCGCAGTGCCCACGCGAGCGCGCACAGGGGCTCTCCAGATCCCTTCGCTGCCGAAACATAAACACACACACACACACACACACACACACACACTCCAACATAGTTTATTATTCGACCCTAAGCTCCCGCTTTCCCTAGCCCGCGGGCATGGGGTGTCCCAGCCGGGTGGACCCACCGGCTGCGGTGGTGCTGAGCCGCAGATGCTCTCCTCCAGCTCACGCACAGAGGCTAGAGGCCGCCCAGGCAACCTACCGGCCAGGATTGCCCCACAGTCATCCGCCGGGGTCCAAGAGGCGTGGGGACGCCTGAGCAGGAACACTCTCCCGCGTTCCCGGGAACCTTTCCAAAACCTAACTCGTTCCCAAACCCATGGACTTCTTTTTTTCCTCTCCCCTTCTTAAGTTACTCTTCTTGTAACACTAGGATTTTTTTTTTCAATTCCAGGTCTAAGAAGTTAGAGAACTGGGCAAAACTGAAATTCTTTCAGTAATTATTTTTTTAAAACGAAAGACAAGACAGAAAGCAAGAGACCCATCCCCACAGCTGTGTCGGGGGCAAAGCCATCACCATATATGGACATCCCATTGAAACCACACCAGAAGGGCCCAATAAACAGAATGAGCACAATATCCGTTTAGGAAAAGAAAAATTATAATGCTTAATAATAATAATAATAATAATAATAATAATAATAAAAACTTCAGACAACGCACAACAAGCAGTCCCCCCTCCCGCCCCCACCTGCGTGTTGAACCTGCCCTCCATCCTCATATCTGTCCTTGAAACTGTTCCTTCGGGACTTCTTTTGCCCATATTTGCCAAAAAATGAGAGTAGCTATGAAAGAAAGGAGAATGTTTCAGTTCTCTCTGCAGACCCAGGGGAATCTCCGCCAACCGCCTAGCCCCTTCCCTTCCCTCCCTTCGGTTCCTTAGGTGTGATTTGGTTAGGGAAATTGGGAAGGGGGTTGGGGGTGAGGGCAAGTTTTTTTAAAAATCAGGAAGGCGTGAGCTGGAGCAGTGTCAATCAGAGGGTTTTGTGCCTGGGGGCTCCTAGCGGTTCTGAGCAGAGGTGTCCCAGGGCGGCCCCACAATGAATATGAATAGGAATCCTCGCTAAATGGGACAGCAAAGCGCACCGCCCTGAATGATGGCACGTCATCCTAACCAGCCCAGGATAGATAGGAGGGTTTCTTTTGTCTCTTTGCTCCGCCGCAGCTCTATAAAAGCCCCTCTTTTTCTGCGTGAGGTTAGTTCAAGCACACACCAACTAGCTGACCAGGAAAACAGCCTAATCAGAGAAAAGGGAGTGGGGCGGGAGAAAGGCGGGGGAAAGGCAGTGCTTCAGCTTTTCTTCTCACGTCTTGTCGCTGAGAAGTGGGTTGCTGGGCTGTGCAAAAAAAAATTTTTTTTAATTCAAGATTTTCTTTAATTTCCCACTTAAAGCCTCCCCACATTCGGGCCGCATCCCCTGTAATAAAATGAATTCTGATTCGAGCTCTGTCTCCAGCAGAGCTTCCTCTCCGGACATGGATGAGATGTATCTGAGGGACCACCATCACCGCCACCACCGCCACCAGGAGAGCCGTCTTAATTCGGTCTCGTCCACGCAGGGCGACATGGTGCAGAAGATGCCCGGGGAAAGCCTCTCACGGGCCGGCGCCAAGGCCGCGGGCGAGAGCAGCAAGTACAAAATCAAGAAGCAGCTGTCGGAACAGGACCTACAGCAGCTGCGGCTGAAGATCAACGGACGCGAGCGCAAGCGGATGCACGACCTGAACCTCGCCATGGACGGGCTGCGCGAGGTCATGCCCTACGCACACGGGCCCTCGGTGCGCAAGCTCTCCAAGATAGCCACCCTCCTGCTGGCCAGAAACTACATCCTCATGCTCACCAGCTCCCTGGAGGAGATGAAGAGGTTGGTTGGCGAGATCTACGGGGGCCACCACTCGGCCTTTCACTGCGGGACCGTGGGCCACTCGGCCGGCCACCCAGCGCATGCCACCAACGCCGTGCACCCGGTACACCCCATCTTGGGTGGTGCGCTGTCGTCCGGCAACCCATCGTCACCGCTGTCTGCCGCCTCGTTGCCTGCCATCGGCACCATTCGGCCTCCCCACTCGCTGCTCAAGGCGCCCTCTACGCCTCCCGCGCTGCAGCTGGGCAGCGGCTTCCAGCACTGGGCCGGGCTGCCCTGTCCGTGCACCATCTGCCAGATGCCACCGCCACCGCACCTGTCTGCTCTCTCTACCGCCAACATGGCCCGGCTGTCGGCCGAGTCCAAGGACTTGCTCAAGTGAGCAGCGGGCCGGCCCGGCTGCTAAGGATGAGGGGAGAGCGGCGGGAGGGGCCGCAGTGCCGGGCGGTGAGGGAAGGGGGAGACTGGGCGCTCCGCCTCGGGAGGGCGGGTGCGGGCCGGTGGCCTCCCACTGGGGCTCAGAGATCTCAGACCCTACTTGACCCCCACAGGGAAAGGACCAAAACCAAACTGCAATTTCTGGGTGGTAGAGAAGGGGGACTGGAACCAGACGTCGTGTGTTTTGCATGCATGCTTCTTTTCCCCATGCCGCGCCAGTATTTCTCACTGCCATATGCTCTTGTCAAAACTGCATTTGTTGTATAAAGACGGGATCGGTGTGTTTAAAAACTTGCGAAGGGGCTTTAGAGTTGGCTTTCACTGGCTCTGTGTTCTTACCTTGGAAAAGACAACCATCCCTTTTGTGCAAAACAAATGTAAATATTTCCTTGAGATGGGTGCAATTCTGATTGTCACTATCCTCTCCACAGTTGTTTTGTTTTCTAGAGACAATGGCGAGAGAGAGAGAGAGAGAGAGAGAGAGAGAGAGAGAGAGAGAGAGACCCCCAAGTTTTGAATCTCAACTCCGGTCCAGGGCATGACATCTCTTATGTGGGTTTTCCTTAAGACGCAGTGTAGGTCAAAAGAATGCATGCACACTTCTAAGTGAATCTTGTTTAAACATGTTGTGCAGGCCGTGATGCCATTTTCCTTGTAACAAGGATTTATTAGTGAATTCTCCCAAGTACTCCATATAGCTGTCTGTGGTTGTATGAAATGATAACGGAGGGCAGAGTGCAAAGATCCAAACTCACGCACATGAGCTTCCTCTCCCACCCCCAACCCATTGAAACTCCATTCCCAACCTTACTTGGCTGTTCCAGGGGCCAGCGGTTGCCAGAGCTTGGGCTCCTTCCACTAGCTTGCCCCACTCCACCTGCTCAGTTATTCTGCATGCGGGGTCGGCGCTCTATCATCAGCTTTAAAAACTTATAGTGGTTTGGGAAGGGGTGCCGTTTTTATTTTCCTGAACATCTGCTTGAAATATTTTGTTAGGGCTTCAAAGACAATACCTGTCTTTATTTTTTATATATTCTTGATAACTATGATATATTTATTAATAACCAGTGTTTCTGGATGAGATTTCAAATAAAAAAGACCTTTAAATCCTGGCTTTGCCTTTGCCTAAAATTTTTGAAGATGGGGGTAATGGTTAGGGCACATGTGAACCCGTAAAGTGTACCTGGGCTTGGATGAGAGATTTGGATGGGTGGGCCGATGTGAAGAGTTTTCTCTGGTCATTTACAGGTAAAGAGGTCAGATAAATTGGTGTTAATGATTACAACTGAAATGTCCTTTGAATGGGGCATTGTCGAAGTTGGTAGTCTTGTGATATTTGAGCTCCTTGCTTGTTTCTCTGCAGTAATCAGACCCTCATAAACTCAGCAGTTGAGATTAAAAAAAAAAGTAATCTAGAAACCCAAAGTGACAGGAAATGGGAGGCGGAGTAGTGACTGTGCAGCTGGTTGTGTTGGCAACAGATGAGAATGAAGCAGTAAGTTAACTTTTCACTTTAAATTGACCCTGTGGCCTTAAATAAAACAGGTTAAAATGCAGTATATATTTTTAAAGTCAACAAAGAGTGGTCCTAGAAAACAATCAAATACTCGCCCCCCCCCACCTGCTCCCTGGGCAGCAGCCCCTCAGAGAAAGGGAAGGTTGACCTGCTTTGTAAGGTGAGCAGAGTGAAGCCAACGGTGGCCCAAGTCTCAGCAACTCGCAGATTTATAGCGGGAATTCTCCCTTCTTTCCGTCCTGAGAAAATTGCAGGTCCCATTAGTTGAATACAAACTATTTGGAAGTATTATAGGGTGGGGAGTGGGGAATGAAGAGAGAAAAGTCTTTTACACAAATGATGGCTAAAACGGGTCATTTTAATCCCTTGCTTTTCTCTCTTCATCCTGCACCTCATCTCATAACAGTTCCAGATAGGGTGTATAAACTTAAGTAATCAAGCAAGAAGGATTTCTTTGTTTATAAAGAACAAGAAATCAAGCTCTACTGATAATAACCCAAAAGCACATGCCTCTATTTCCTACTAAGGAAAATGGAAACCTGATTGAAAGGTGCCACTCCAGAATTTGCCTCTGGATTCGACGTAACATCACCTCTGTTGGCTGAGGCCTCAGCTCCTCCTCAAGAGGGCAGGCCCATGGCTTCCACCCCAGGGCAATAGAGCTGTCTCTCTCCAGCATCCAGCATGGACAGCACATTTGGGAAGCACCTGCCCTTTCGTTCCTGGGTCCCCCACCGTCTGCCTGGTGCTGTCCCTCTCTGGGAGGGCACCCCTGTGGATCCTGGTTCTATTTAACTCATTCTTCTCCATCTCTTTTTACCCCCTGCTTACCCTAGCTCCCCCACTGCTAGGGAGAAAGACCAAAGTGAGGGTCTACAGTGGAGGGTACTTATAGCCTCTGGTGTGAGGCAGACAAATGGGGGAATAATCGTTTGTTTCCCAAGGGTGATTCATTTCTCTGGGTGAGGAAAGGGTTGTGGAGGATTTATTTGAAACCAACACAAGGCAGCCCTCCAGCCTTTCCCTGTGAGTTTATTATTTAGATAGGGGAGGCAAGGGGCGGGGGAGAAGTTTCATCAATCAGGAAAACGACTTTCCCTAAGCCACTTGCTTCTCTGAGTTCTGCTTCCAAAGACCTGGTCCTGGGCAAAGACGAGAGGCCTGACCACTGACTTGGTGTTGGGCTTCACCCCCTCTTTACAGCTGAAGCGTAAATTGGGCCCTGGAAGAAGTAAGGCCACACTCCTTACACCAGGGCAGTGGTGGCTATTGTACTGCTGGAACAGACATCTGTTAAGTTACCTCCAGAGGTCAGTTTAAAGAGCTGTGAGTTCTACACCCGTGGGTAATTGTGCTAAAAAGAATCTGGAGCCCAGGGAACTCTGCCTCGAGTTCTCCAGAATTGGAAAAAGAGACCCTGCTTCCAAAGTTGAGGAGGTCCCCTAAACTGGCTGAGCTCTTTTTTGGGTCACAAAACTCCTTTTGGTGTAGAAAATGGGAGACAGGATTCCTGTAAGAACAGAACAGGAACTCAAGGAGGAAGGCCATTTGGGAGCCAGGTCGCCCGGATTTTCTTGATTTATTGGGTGGGAACAATCATCACTAGCCTCCCCGGGAAGGGGCCTTGCCACGGTGCTAGCTGGTCCTCTGGGGATGTGACTTTGCAGGCAACTCTTACTCGCATTTCCCGTTAAATTCTCGAATGTCTGATGCCAGACACAAGATGACATGGCTGCGAAAGCGAGAATGGTATTTTGGCCTATTTTTCTGCCTTGTAAATTTGCCGCTTTCTCCAAAGTTCTCAAGTTTAAAGCCGTTTGTAATTCAATCTAGAAACAAGACATCGATCCCCTCATTCCAGAAGAAACGTTTCCTAATAGTTAAAAAGACAGCGAAAGCCTCCTGCGTGGAGATATCCTGAGAAGCCTACACTAGAAACCTCTCAGTGCGGTTTAAGCCGGTGATCACTTTCTGGGCGGGAGAAAGTCACACTTAGAAAGGGAAAGCAGGCCGTTAGACCTTTGTTCCAAGCGACCCTCTCCCCCTCCCCAGGTTTCTGGGACCTTGGGTGTTTATCCCGAAAACGGGTGGGGAGAGGCTGCTGGAGTAGCCCACGTAGCCCAAGGTTCCCTAGCTCCTACAGGAGGAGGTCTTGTGTCCCCTCAAACTTTTTTCCAAGCTGCTGGTTCGAGCAAGATTTCGTCGCTTTCACTGATATGCAAAAGCCCCTTCCCTCAGGGAGGGCGGTGGGTTCTCTGAGCACGTCACGTCGCTCAGCTAACTAGATTTAACTTCTCTTTCTAGGTCCCTTCTGACGACTTCGGGCCCCTCTCCCTCTCTGTTCCATTGCTCAAGTTAGGGTGAGCTCTTAGCTGTCTCTGACGCCGCTGGTTTCCGCCGCTCTGCTGCCCTTTGGGGTCGGGGACAGGCCTGGGGGCGGGGACCCACAAGCCTCTGAAACGCTGACAATGCCCCGCAGGGAGCTAAGCCTTACCCCTCAGAAGCTCTTCCGGAATAGATGGGGCTAGAGGTACAGCTCTCTGGCTCGCAGGGTCCTCCCCGGCCTGTCCCCTGGGCGCCTCTCCGCATTCCCAGATCCGTGGCCACCCCACGGCCACCGCTCCCCGCCCGAGTCGGGGAATGGGAGCTGTGCATAGAGGACGTCGGGGCCGGACGCGGACCTCCGCCACTGGGGGATTTGGGCCTCTCCTGTGAGTGCGGTCCCGCGAAATTCCGGCTCCGAGGGTGTAGGAAGCGAGGCGAGAGGAGGAGCCCTGCCGAAGGGTGCTGGCAGTGACTTTGGAAAGAAATGGGTCAAAGGAGGGGTGCACCTGCGTCTTCCCTGCCTCTCCGCAAACTTGAGAGAATGAGTGTCCCTTCATCCCCACACCTGCGAAGCCTCTGATCCTCTGGTGTACCATTCCCTTAAGAGTAGCGGAGGAGGCAAACCACGAAGGTCGGGGTCTGCAGAGTCTCGCTTTTTAGTGTCCGTTTTCAGTGACATCCTCCCTGGGACACTGCGGTCGCGGGGCTTCAAGGGGGCCTGCGAGGGTGGAGTACGGGGACGCACGGTGGTGGACAGCACGAGAGCTGGGGAGTCCGCCCTCGCCTGGGCCCCAGGAACTCTCGCACCTGATCTTTCCCAAGACTCTGGTTCTTCCGCCCAGTTGCTGAGTTCCTAGCCTCCCTCTATCCTCCGCCCGGCGGCGGGAGCGGAAAGCTGGCCTGGGTGCGGGGCCGGTGCGGCAGAAACTGGCCCTGCACTCGCCCCTAGCTTTGGGGCCTAATGCGGAGAGGAGCAGCGCCCAGACTCCAGCTCCGCGCAGAGGGATCCTGGGGTTGAGGCTGCGCCCCGTGGGAAGTGTTGGTCTCCCCGTCCAACCCTGGACTCCAGCTGTTCACCCTGTCGGCCCAGAGAGGTGGGGGCT